TGGGAGAATGAAGTCCTCCAATCAGAAGCTGCCACAGTGCCAGCAGAGAGAGTCAAAACATGAAGTGGAAAAGTACAGGCTTCTGCACATTGATAGAATGATGAGTTTAACTTCAACAAAAGTTGCTTAAAAGTGTTATGAAATCTCACAACCCATAACTCATATTTTTTGCTTTTTGTATGAACAAACAATGCGGGCATGAAACATATTCTGCTGTAGCCAAACAAACTGTCCAGTTTATTTATATGATATATATGTTCATCTGATTGGGCTGAAGTCAGTGCTTCACCGGTGTTTCCACATTCACAGTGGCGGGTGTTGGTGTTTAGTGCTTACAGCACAGAGAGAGATGAAGAGTGAGGAGGACTCCAGCAGCAAAACAGCCTTTTCTAGATGGAAATATTGGCACAATTTCAAACTCACTTAGGTTAAAAGTGCACATTATGTTCCAGAACAAAACAAAAAAGTAACGCAAAAGTTACTTTTACTGGTAACTAGTTACTTTTATAGTGGAGTAACTCCTTTAGTAACTCAGTTACTTTTTGGGAGAAGTAACTAGTAACTATAACTAATTACTTTTTCAAAGTAACGTGCCCAACACTGCTGCTATGTACTTACAATTATTCAGACAAGAAATACAAATTAAATCAAACATGTACATGGAATGCTTATATTTAATCCAAGTGCATGTTCAAGGTAAGATAAGATCAACTTTATAGATCTCACAATGGAGAAATTTACAATTTGCAAAACAGGTCAGACAAGGTTGGGTCCCATCTCCATGTCCTGCGGAGAAGCCGCTCAAAGACCTAGACCATTGAACACTTTCAACAGCGTTTCAAAACGTTTTTATTCAACCTGTGGAATTATAACTGTAAATAAAATTGCTATCAAACATTGATTATAAACAGATGGTCAGCAAACTTACATTTTGTGCAATTGATTTTCACATACACTCAACTGTCGCAGCATAAATCATTTAGTTTCCTGAGTCTGGTCCCTTCACCCAACGTCTCTGTGGCACCGCAAAAATGCTTTGCCGGGGAAAACCTCCAGTTACTGCTCTTGGTACAAGATGTCCTACTTCCACCGATAACGCTATTGAACATGTGCTTGAAGCAGCCACTTCCCGATTTAGGAGAGGAGTCCCGGTTTTTAATTTAGTTGTAGTCCGTTTTGCTCTCGCCGCAATGCGAGAGCAAAAATGCTTTTTCTTGGCTGCTCCACCAGCAGCCCCACCCTCACCTGAGGCTGGAGTCTCTCGCCCCTCCCCCACCTGTCCTCTAAGCAGGGGCAGGTGTGTAGGAGCTGCCGGTCCCTCTGCACTCACCAGGATGCAGCTCCCACCTGTCCTTGTTACTTCGTTTTTACTTCAGATCTCTGTTCCTCACCCATGGATTCTGTTCCTGCTAATCCTAGCTTGAGCTCTTGTAATAAGTTCAATTCAATACAATGTTTTATTGTATAGCCCTAAATCACAGCAGCAGTTGTCTGCTGTCAAGGACAACAACAGATCACAGAATCAATCAAGAAATGAAATAAAAACAAACTCAAAGGAGCCATTAGTCTGTAGGGAGCGGGATGACCTCCGTCCGTAAATGTCCGTAAATGTAATGTAAGTTGTGCACACTTAAAAGATGGAGGTTGCTTGGATATGGTACTAAATGCAAAATGAATTGTTAACACAAACTGGTAGAGTAGAGCTGTTCATTTCTTAAGGTTCCTTTCCTACTGATGGTGCTGCTTCAGAATACAGTACCACTGGCAATTCTTCTGCAAACACCTCTGACATACAATAATACAGTCATGTTTGAGTAGGTGTTTCAACAACACTATCCCCATGTAAACTAGGGTTTGTTCCAAAGAGGCATATTCCATGAAGTCACAACTAAAACCAAAATCAGTTTCAGTTGTTGTTCTTGCTCTCATCCCTAATGTCGAAACAGTATCTTGAGGTTGTTCAGTCACTTGTACTGTTGGTCATTTAGCGTATGGAATCCATGGAGACAGTTAATGAATCATAATAATGTAAAATGTCACTTCCACTTCAGGTATGGCTTTGCAAAAGTCCAGTTTAATATTTAAGTTAGTGTAAGTCAACATTAGGAAAAGTTCATGGGGTATGAATTATTTTTAGTAAAAGTTACTGTATTCAGAATAAATCAACATTATCCGAGCACATATATATTCTGCCATTGTAGCATCAGAGGCAGAGGTGCAGCATGGCCCGCAGTCTGCAGCCGGGAGAGCTCCAGCGACACCAGCCTGCTCCTGTGTTTGATGCAGACCTGTCAATAATACATGTGGCCTCTGCATATGGCCCGGCCCCAGGGTCGCTCTGCTCTTTTCTGAGGCATGGGACAGGTTGATGCAAGATACTCCAATACTTTTACCCCGCATTCATTATTTCAGCTCTCCAAATGTGTCACTACCGTTTAGTTTGTGGGTTTGTTTTTAAGATTCATCCAGGCATTTTCTTCCGTCTCATTTGTGGCCCTTTCGAAAGGGTTAGTGCCGGACTCCACCGGTCGCGTCTCTGTTTATGCGCGTAGGCTGCTGCCCGTCAGACGTCCGTAAAACGGAACAGTGGCCAAACCGGCTGCAGCAGCTCTGGCTGTGCGTTTATCAGCCCTGTGAGGCTTTGTTTTAAATAGAAGAAGCGGTGTGTGATTTGTATGAGCTGTGGCTATGATCTATGGAAAGCACAGCATATTGAAGCATCGCGGACGTCGCGATGGATGAGGCAAAACTTGTTAAAAGCAATTGAAAAAAGGGGAGAGAGAAAAGAACTCCAACATATCCAGGCTTTTTTGAAAGAGAGTCAATATTTACTTTACTTGAAAAATAAATTATTTTACGTTCAGGAAACAATTATTTCAATTTAATACATGAAAATAAATTACACACATTTGTTAATAATCTTTCATTAACAAACACTTATAACCAAGGACTACAGCAGATGTTGTATAATGTTTAATAATGTGGTAAATATATTTTTCCGTTGTATTTCCAATGAAAAACTGATCCGACACGTTTCGGCGGACGGAACAAATAGGATTGTTTCTATTTTGTCCGTCCGCGTCCGTTGCACCCTGCGTGGACGCATGTCGCAGGCAGTGTAGCCACTTTCATTCACCCTCATGAAGAAAACAGAAACGGAGATGAAACGGACACGTTTGGACGGATACGTAGTACGTTTTACGGTGGGGTCTTAGGGTTAGGGTGACAGCCGAGCCATACATCATCAGGAGACTTCAGATAGTCAGGATGAATCTCTTCCACTCCCAGGGCCCTACCACCGATCTTTTCAAAATATTCAAGGCCAAAATATTGTTTTAAAATTATCCATCCATCCATCCATTTTCTACCCTTTAATCCATTTCTGGGTCAGGGGGGTGGCAGTCAGAGATGCCACCCAAGTCTCATAGCACCAGCCCCTCACTGACCCTCTGCAGGTGGTGAGTCCACAGGAGGACGGCTGCTCTCTGACTGTGAGCATGGCCTTGATCTTTCAGCAAAAGTGAAGTGTTTTAAAATTATGATTACTTTTATTTCATTCTTCAATGGCTCATATCTGGATCTACAAAGACTATATCAAAAGTGAGTGAAACTGCTACCGAGCTAGATGAATTTACTTTTACATGTAAGTCAATAGGAGCCAGAGCAAGTTGGAGCAAAACTTTGCACCTGAGCCCTTCCTTGTTGGGCTTCATTTAGCTAGAGCAGGGGTCGGGAACCCGCGGCTCCGGAGCCGCATGCGGCTCTTTCATCCTTATACTGCGGCAAAAAAACACGTGTTTAATTGAAGGGTATTTTATTTGTGTTAGTTCTTTAATATTTTAGTTCTAAATAGGAAGATTATTGTGATCTTGACATATTAGAATAAATATATTTTATTGTTTTTTTGTCGCTCAAAAGAAACGTCATACTCGCGAAAGCCGGTATACCCGCCAAAACGCCGTCCACCTGTCGCAACTTTCAACCCCAGCAAGGCCAAGTATGGAGAAATGTAAGAAAAGAAAAATATCTGAAGAAAATAGAACATTCAATGATGCCTGGGCAGATTCATTTGCGTTTACCTCTGATGAGAGCGGCCTACCAGTATGCCTAATTTGCGGAGAAAAACTGTAACAACAAACGGTCAAATGTCGCAAGACATTTCAACAATACACACAGAGCCTTTGCTGAAAAATATTCAGAAGGAGAAGAGAGAAAAAAAGCGGTTTCGGAACTGATGCGGAAGGCTGATCTGACGAGAAATCACTTCAAGAAGTGGGTGAAGTCTGCAAATTCAATTACATATGCAAGTTTTGTGGCCGCTCAGGAAATAGTCAGGCATGGGAAACCGTTCACAGATGGAGATTATATAAAACAATCATTCCTTAATATTTCAGAACACCTATTCGCGGACTTTAAAAACAAGCATGAAATTGTGCAGAAAATCAGAGAGATGCCGCTCTCTGCGGGGACAGTCAAAGACAGAACCATAAAAATGGCAGAAAATGTCACAAAACAGCAGATTAAAGACATCAATTCAGCTGCAGCGTACTCAATCGCCTGTGATGAGTCCAAAGACAAAAGTGACATTGAACAAATAGCGCTGTTCTGCCGATATGTGAACTCTGCTGGACCGCAGGAAGAAATGGTTGAGCTGATACCACTAAAAGGCCAGACATGGGGGGAGGACATCTGTGAGGCCGTGCTTGATTGTTTACGAGCCAAAGAAATAAAAACAACCCACCTAGTGTCAGTGGCTACTGATGGGGCACCGAGTATGACTGGGCTTTGTGGCCTTGCTGCAGAAGTCACTGGATAGACAGCTGCTCACTTTTCACTGCATCCTGCACCAAGAGGCACTGTGCGCGCAAACTTTTCCTCCAGAATGCACAGAGGTCATGAATCTTGTCATTCAGATTGTCAATAAAATAATGGCAAAAGGTTTAAATCACCGCCAATTCCGTTTGCTACTGGATGAGGTGGACAGCACATACTCTGATCTCATGCTGCACAACCGAGTCCGGTGGCTGTCCAGAGGAGAGGTGCTGAAACGTTTTGCTGCATGTCTGGGAGAGGTGAAGACTTTCATGAGCAGCAAAGGGCTCACCTTTCCTGAGCTGGAACAGCCAGAGTGGCTGGAAAAGCTGCACTTCATGGTGGACATGACAGCGAACCTGAACACGCTAAACACAACCCTTCAGGGGAGAGGAGGCACAGCGCTACACATGCTGGAGGAGGTGTTAGCGTTTGAGCGCAAACTGACAGTTTTAGCCAGAGATTTACAGAGAGGCACACTGTCTCACTTCCCCTCTTTAAGGGAGTTCAAACAAGGTCACAAGCTGATCAATTCAGAGTATTTGCAGTCTGCAATCACCACAATGCAAGCATCGTTTGGGAAACGATTCCGTGAGTTCCGAGAGGAAAAAAACACATTGTCCTTCCCCGTCACTCCCCTGAACATCGATCCATCCCTGCTAAATGTGACTGCATTTGCAGGTGTAAGTCAACCTGATCTGGAGCTGGAGCTGGCTGACATAGCTGACAAAGACATGTGGGTGTCCAAATTCAAACGCTTGACAGAGGACCTTGAAGATGTTGCCCGTCAGAAGGCCACTCTTGCTCAGAATCACAAATGGAGTGATATTGAGAACCTTCCAAGACCGGACAAACTCGTGTTTGAAACATGGAATGCCATCCCCGACACCTACATGAACATGAAGACATATGCCTTTGGAGTCCTGTCGATCTTTGGATCCACATATGTATGTGAGCAGCTATTCTCCACCATGAACTACATTAAAAACAAACACCGCTCACGCCTCACAGATGAAAGCTTACAGTCCTGCGTAAAGATGAGAGTGACTTCGTACAGCCCCGATTTGCAGACGCTGTGCGCAGAGGTTCAGGAGCAGAAGTCCCATTAACCAGGTAAAATAAATATTTATGCAGATACTTTGCAAATATTTATTTTTCATTGTTTAGTGACACAGTGCCTTTCCCCCCAATTTATTTTCTAAATTCAGGTCAAGGCTCCGCTACTTGCTCTGAAGGCCCAAAGGCGATATAAGAATGACGGTTCACGGCATTTTTTTCCTTTTGTTTGTTTAAGTTCAGCTTTTTAATTTAATTGAAAAATACATTCAATTATTTTCAAGAATTCAAAATGTTCAAAATGAGTTCATAACATAGATACAATTTAATTTTCTCTGTCCCACTTTGTGGATTTAATAAGCAACACTCTTTATTATTATGTTATTATGTTATTTGTACAAAGTGTAAAGGTAAGAAAAAGAATTATATACAGTGTTTTCTTCATTTTAAATAAGATGATAGCCCATCTTCAAAATAAATAAATTCATTTTCAATGTCAAAAAGTATTTGCGGCTCCCAGTGTTTTCTTTTCCGTGGAAACTGGATCAAATGGCTCTTTCGGTGTTAAAGGTTCCCGACCCCTGAGCTAGAGGCATCAAAAGAAAAAAATCAGTTTGTACATAATTGAAAGCTGCTCTGGCCCAGATAACAAATGGATAGATGCTTTACATTGCACCAATCCAATTAATACAAGAGGAAAAAAAACAAAATTGTTACTTTAATTGCTTGTTTTTTTTTTTTTACAATGTTCCCACTAATGTGTTAAGTTTTGAAATCAGCAAAACATTTGGCAAAGATGTGTGGTCTACATCTGAGGCTCAGTAGAACAAAGAAGTAACATTCAAACTCCACATGGTCTGCACTAGTTTTAATAAATTTTTCAGCTATTTTATTTTTAATTTAACCTCCTGGAAAGTCCCATTGAAATTATGAACCTCTTTTTCAAGCGAGTCCTGGACAAGAGGCAGCGAAAGTACAAGAGGCAGCAAAGGCTATGCTCATTTATTACAAGTTATTTGACTTCATTTATCATAGAATATCATCCAAACCTCAAACGCTTAACAAGACTTAAAACAGAATACCAAGTCGTGACTGTATTACTTCTGAAATCATTATTTTTGAGTCAACTGTGAAACTAATTATCCAACTTTGTGCCGCAATAAAAGAAAATCAAACTAATGTTCCCGTTCTGCGTTATTTTAAGCTTCAGTTCATCACTACATGTAATAAAAAAATGTGCTGTTTTGTGATATGAACAGAGAAATGTCATCTGAGACACCAGTTGTCAGAAGTCAGGGAAAGTGACTGGGTGGCTGTGCTGTTTCCACGGTAACGCCATGAGACCTTTTTGTACGCCTACCTCACAGGGCTCACCATCAAAGTTTGTCATAAAGAACTTTTAATAACTCCACTTTCGCAGCCTCCACGCCACACTCGGCTTGTACCACGTTATAATGAAGCGCCCTCATTTAAAAAAGTGGAACTGTGTCGTTTCGTGTGTGTGTGTGTGTGTGTGTGTTCGTTCTGCCATCACAATGTTCAATATGAAGAAGACCATAAACTAATTTCTATGATGAAGTCTTGTTTTATGTAGCCCGGGTGCAGCCGAACGCTTGCCCCGCCTACATCATTTTCCAGCAGGAAGTTGGATCTAGCATTGCTCTGTTAGGGAAGAACAAGATAGATAGATACTTTATTATTATGTAGTAGTTTAATTTCTTTGGCCATTATACACATAAGATCTCAGGTAACACGTTTTCAAAGGTTGTATATACATTTTATGAGAAGAAAAATAAAGAACTAAAAGAAGGAGCATGGGGGCCGGCCTCCTGCTGGTCCCCAGAGTCAGGACTAAATATAAGGAGGCTGTATTTGACGCCCCGTCCACATGTAGCCGGGTATCTGCTAAACTTAAGATATTTTATTCTTCGTTTGCACCTGTCATCCACATGACAACGCATCAAAAACGAATATATTAAAAAAAAACTCTGGGCAAAGTGAAGATTTTTGTAAACTCTTCATGCATTTGCGTGTAGACAGAGATAACCGAAGTTCTATGTTTTCACACGTCACAATATGCGCCAAAACAACAAGTCTGCGTTGCATGGATCTTACTGCCGGGAAAACCGTATCATGCTGCGGCGCTGGAGCGGTGGGTTCAGCAGCTAGATGCAGCGAACATCCTCGCTCCACATCAGATAGCAGGAACGTGGTCATGGGACTCACGCTCCAAACAACCAGAACAGGAGCTAAACCAGGATTAAACCAGGGCTGAGGACGGGGGTCAGTGCTTGTGAACATATGTCTTCAGCCTGAGTTACTTCTGTGACTGTAAATAAGTGCTGCTACAGAAGTACCGGCGTTTTTTCCCCAATGCAGTACGTCAGAGGACGTGAAGGTTTGGAGTGTTATGAATGTGACAGATTTTATAGACAGAGAGGGGGAAATATTTGATTTTAAAAATACCCAGCTACGTGTGGACATGGCCTCAGACTCAGATGCAGCAAAAAACTGGAACAATCTTCCTGAAGATGTGAGACAGGCCTCCTCTCTGACAATGTTTAAATCCAGGTGTAAAAACAGTCCTGTTTAGCTGTGCATACAACTGAGGGATTTTATATTTTTGTCTGTCTTTTCAATGTACTGTGGTTATTTATGATTTTAATGCTATCTTATTTTGTTCAGCAATTTGAGTTGCCTTGTGTATGAATTGTGCTATACAAATAAACTTGCCTTACCTTAAAATGTGTCTTAAGAATGTTTGTGCTAAATAATGATCCCATGTAGGAGAAATGTGGGTGTCCAACAGCAGAAACAGATCTATCCATTCAACTAAATAAATTCCTTCAGTAGATTTATGCTTGATTCGGACTGTGCCTTCTCTCTGCTCTGGCCTGCATCAGAACTATGCCCGAACAAAATCTGACTGGACCAATAAAATTGTCAGGGCAAGTAATGTGCTTTCTTTCACCTCCGCCCCGCCCACAGTCCACAGCCAACCGCAGTCCTGATTCACTGTCTCGTCACTTCCCTCCTGGATCACTGCACCATTTTACAGAACTATCTAAATGGGGACATTTCTCCATTCCATCGCTTTCGACATCATCCGCTGCCATAATTCAGCTTTACCAACAAGTTTTTCGTGAAATTCAGGAATGCATAAAATTGTCTGCGTGATTTTTTTAAAGTTGTGTCTCCCTGAAAACATTGACCGAGATTAAAATGCCTCCTGTTCTCTGGCTACACGGTGAATGCCAGTCGGCCTTGTCAGCTCCAGCTCCGTGTCTAGTTTTCACATCAGCTTCTTCAGGATGCCAACAGACCTACTGATCCTGGCTGTGACATTCGGACAGGTTTGGTCCAAAATTTCTCCCAATTTTCTCATGAAATAAATTCTCTGGTGTTCCAGATGGAGGTCAAGAGGAATATGTTTTCCATTTCCCCCTCTACCATTCCAAAACCGGTACCATACTACACTGTGTGCCATGCAAAGGACAGTGTGACCTTAACTTTCCGTGTTAGTAGGAAAGTGCTGCAGGCATACTGGCTGTGTCCATACACTTCATAAAAAAGCAGGATGACTTTGTAAAGTCTCATCAGCCTCTCATCATCCATCATTCCAGTCAGTCTTTTGTAGCAACATCTGAACAGGCCCTGGTGTGTTTCTGCACTTCCCTCTGTCACCTCATACTAATACATTTGACACATCATCCTTTGTATGTAATCCATTTTGGTCTGTGCCAAACTGTTGAATTACACGGTCAACAAAGCCCTTCTGCCAAAGAGAGGCAGTGGGGCATGATTATATTCTTATGGTGCTTTCACACCGGATCATGCGTTGGGTCGACTTTCAATGCAAAGTCAATGGTGTCGAGCGTCGAACTGCATGTGCGTCTCTGGATGCACGCACGGACTGCGTGGCAGAGGCACAGGAGCGGAAAATTGACGCACGGAGGAGATAAATATTGATGAGCGTTTCCACGGGACACTCATGCAGCAACTAATCAGAGAGCCGCAAAGTGGTCACGGGGACATTAGTGGTCTGAGCGAGCAGACTGAACATACTGTAAGCAGCCAAAACAGGAGCTACATCAGGACTAAACCAGGACTAAACCAGGGTTGACAATGGGGGACATAGTGCTTGTGAACATATGCGTTTTCATGCTCCCGTGACTTTATGCAACTGCTTCGAGCGTGATCTCCGATGCGGAAGTTTAATAATGCGTTTAATAATAAAATAAACTAATTGCGCACACATACTACTGTAAAGTCTCTGGAAGGTCTCTGGACACAGAGACGCTGCAGAGCTGCATTATTGGAGAAGAACTTTACACAAAAAGCCGCTAGTTTAACTCTTAGCATCAAAGTCCGCCCGCTACTTCCACCACTTCCAGCGGGCGCCACTGCAGCCCAGGACTTCCGGTGTGAAGACCCCTACGTCTGAAAATGAGAGAATGTGCATCTGGTGCGCGAGGCGTTAGTGTTCCAGCGTGGGCGGTGAGAAAGCAGCTTTACAAGTGTGTCCACCAAATCTGACATTTGTTCTCGTCTTTGAAGAGCAGTCCCAGAGGGTACTTTGAGAATGTAAATAAAACAAGATCGTTTGAGTTGAAATGGTGTATATAAATATTGTCTTCTGTATACTGATGGCATGTGGTATTTTCTTGAAGGGTTTAAAGACAGCCAGGTACTGAGTCAGGATGTTGCTCCAAAGAACAATTAACTCACGTTGCGTATCATCCTGGGTTTCTACTCCGAGGAGTGAGTTCCAAAGGTCGTACTGAAGGGTTAGGGTTAGGTGATGAGGTGATGTATCGTGATTCAATCTTGAACTGCAATATGATGAATCCAGTGTATGGATTTGTTGCTATGGAGGGTAGACTGATGTGCACGCATGAAAAAGTCCAAATTGTCAAATATTATGGAAAATGTTGGTGGAGGAGTGAGGTGTGTGATCGGAGAACCCCCGGAGCTCAGCTCAGAGGCACTTAATCTGTTGAAAGGTAGAGTGGCTATTTCAGAGTCATTTATGCTTTTGGCTATTTCATCTGCT